CCACTCAGCTTCGTTTGACATATGGTACTTCAAAATTCCCTTCATTAAACCAGTGTTTCCTTCCCTTTCCCCTCAACACCCCTCTCCCCCCCCCCAAAAAACAATCAGACAGTAGATTAATAATATTAAAGAAAGAACTATATTAATGTAGGAAGATTCTCCTGAGGAATTCAAGTCCAACCCTTCATTGGTAAAGCCCAATTCCAATTACGAGCACGTGACAGAAGCCCCATGAGCACAGACTAGGGTGAGAACCCAGGTCTCTGACATCCCTCAAGGCACACAGACTGGAGTTCAGCCCCTCCCCCATCCACTCTGTCTCTGTGCAGGGCTTAGTGGAAGAACTCTATTCAATGGCCGTGGGTCTCAGGACTCCCAAACTTAGGCTTTTTTCCACCATGTTGCGTTACCACCCACTTCGTGTTAGAAGAATAACTGTGTTATAACTTACGGCATTTCAATTCTTATTTCTGGGTTTCTTGGTATTAGGGGTTTTCTGGACTAGTCCAGATCATTTAGAAGATCCTTGAGAAACCCTCTGAAGGCTGAGGGTCAGGTGAGCCTGCGCTGACTTGAGCCCCACGGTCCAGCAAAAGCATGAGACCAGACCAAGGCAAGCTGAGCAGCTGTTTCATTCACTCCCGTCTGCTGTTGGATAATCAGCATGTTTCCTGGAAGGGGCTCAGCCTCCCTTTGTTGCCAGTATCTCGAGTTATCACAAAGCCTCAAAGAATAGAGCTAATATCTACTTCCATTCATTTTCGATTTTTCCCACCGCAGGGAGTTGCTTCACCCTGCCATCATAATTGATCAAGACCTTGAGGTCTTATTCCGACACCATTTAAAAGATGCTCCAGATGCTCCAGTGGTTCAAACAATTATTAGCATCATTAGATTAAGTGTACTCTTTCCAAGCTGAGAGTGACAGCAATACAAGGTGACACTTAACGGAGCCCCCAGCATGTGCCTCTTAGTCATCACAGCAGCACTGTGAAGGTTTATTAACCCCCCTGTACCACTGAGGGAGTTGAGGGACGGGGAGAGGAAGTAACTTGACCAAGGTCATATCATTAAGTGGCAGAGCCAAAACTCAAACTCTGAAATCTGTTCTTTAAGCATATGTCATAATTCTGGTGTGCTTATTAGAATGATTCTTACTCTATTCATACTTCATATTTGTAACTGCATGGACAATGTCTCAAAGCTGTTTGGTTAAAATCACTGATTTGGAAATATAATGGATTTGTTGTCATTGCAAAATCATTGGAGGATTTTATTAAAGGTGCCGTTTTTCTGATACTGGAAATGCTCAAGATCAAATATTTATGATTCAGCTTGCAGCTGTTTCCCCTAGACGGACGTCCATGCAGAACAACATTATTTCTAGGCCGATCTGCCTCGGGACGGCTAGTGTGAGTAGCCTTCTCTCTTGGGTTTCCAGTGACCTAGGATAAGCGCCGTTTGGAAAGACTACAAGAGGGAGGTTATGTTTTCTAGGGATGAGGAATGAAAGTCAAGCACGTTTTTCTGGAAGCAGAGAGCTCCCGAGGCAGTGCAATTCTCCACCCCCCACCAGCAGCCCCCCTACTCTGTCCCAACCCATCCCAGAACAGCTCCAGGCCTGGAGAGGCAAGTGTAGCTTTAGAGCATGCTGGGCTTGTTTAGAACAGCCCAGAAGGCCCTCCAACAACCTGCAATCACAAGCTCTGAGAACGTTTCAGGCTGAGCCACCTCGGTCAGGAGGGCTAAGAAGACTGCAGTTTCCTCCATCCCCCATCGGCCCACAGCAAAGAGGGAATGCCACTCCTCCCCAACTCAGTTCAGATTCCCTTTTGTGACTGTGGTCCGTCTCAAAGCCACTCTCATCATCAATGCAAACTCACATCAACTGCATACATTGTGTTTAAAGGATTACAAGGAGTCCCCAGCGTGATTTATCCTAAGCTCAGCAGCTCTCCAGGGCTGATCCTGGGCCGGCTGCTTGCCCAGGCCAGCCCTGCAAGACATTACATGATTAGGGACAAAATTAGACATTTGCAAGGGCAGGTGTCAGGGCCCCAAGTGGGAGGCCATGTAATTAGGGGAGGATAATGCCCACCCCAGGGGCTGCTCCATTTCCTGTCCCTACGGAGCTCTTCACCAATCAGAAAAGAGAATTCTTCAACAACAGCTCCCCACCCCCTGGCTGGGAGCCGCCAATGGCTTCTCGGAAAATGTTTCCAGGCAGGTGATGAGCAGAGCCACAAAGGGAAACAACCACCCCAGGCAGGACAGGAGACACAGGAGCTCTGTGACCCTGACCCCTGGTACAGAATTCACCTGCTTGGCAAGGTAGACCCCAGTGCGTTTCACTGCCCGCTGCCCTGCTGCTTGGCCTGCTGATAGGACCCTGGCTCTGCGGGAGGCCACATAAGTGATTCCAGGTGCACGATGGGGCCATTTATAGCTGTGTCTCTGTCCTCAGGGCCTCTTCAAATGGAGGGTCTTTGCATCAAGTAGGAATCATAAAATCAGAGACCTCTGTGGGGCTCTGAGCCAATCCCTATGTTTCCAGGTGAGCCACTTAAACTGATCTGAAAGAACTGTGCTTATCTGAGCCCTGTTCATTCAGGTATCCTTTCTTTTATTGGTTATTTTAAAAATCTCAGGCTTGCTTTAGAAAAATGTGAAATACAGGCATATATAAGGAAGGCCTTGCAAGTCACCTGTCATCCCACTATTCCCTGCTCTTAACACTTTTGGTTTCTGGCATGTTTTCCCCCTATGAATACAGACATTCTGTCCTGTTTATATACCACGTCTTCATCTTATTTCCTTAAGTTAAAATCCCAGGGGTGAATGAAATGCGTAAAGGGGATGGACTCCTCCTGACAATTTGCTGACTCATCTTGAAGCCTCCTGGGGGAAAATTACACAGCTTCCTCTGGGGAACTGTGAAAATACTCCTAAAAGTGTGTACATTCGACCAATGTTTTTATCAGTAACAATAGGGGTTGTAATCCTGACCTTCACTCTCGGGAAGTTCTTTCTGATATCTACACTTAATCCCTTCTGCGGGCTTAACTTCAAACCTGTTCCTTCTTGTCTTGTTCTCAATGAAAGAACAAACAGCTGCTTCCCACTGTGCCCCTGACAGGCCTCCAGGAAGAAAACCTGTTGTCAAGTCTCTCCTCGCCCTCTGTGTCCTCCGGTGCTGCCTGAATGGAGCAGAGCCCTTTGCAGTTGCTCGAGGCCCAGCGTGCCGCACAGGACTTTTGTCGTTTGTGTTCTCCAGCCTCAACGTCCCAGACAGAAAGCCTGTTCCCCTGACAGAGGACTCTGATGAAGGTGCAAGCAGAGACCAGCATAGAGATGACCTCACTTGCCCACAAGCAACACATTCCTATTTATACACTCAAGACTCAGTGTGGTACCACACTGAGTGCTGATTCATGGCCTAATGATTAAGTTGTATTTGGCCTTTACTGTGAATAAGTAAAAAGAAAAAAAGTTTATATTGTCCATTTCGGAATCTCTTTGAGCTCTTCAAGAGAAAACTGTCCTTCTATAAATGGATCCCAGATCCGTCATGAATCTCTTCAGGAATGTGAGTATGGGGAAGAGAGGAGACTGACTTTAATGATGTGTAAATCTAAAATGAGATGATTTTGGCCAACATCTTGAAATCATCATCTGGGAACTGGCCTTTGGCTTTTGATAGAATTTGCCTTTCAAGCGATAAAATGATAAGATTAGAGCATTTATCAGGCACTCACCATAGGCCAGGCACTGGGCTAAGTACTGTGTTTATGCTTACTTAACTCCTCACGGTTAACTCTATAAAATGGGTACTTTGCCCTGTTTTGCCAGGAGAAAACTGAAGGAATGAATGTACATGTGAATGGATCTTAAAACATAACGTTTAGTTTAAAAAAAGTAAGAAGCAGAATGAGAAGAACCACAAAATACCATTTATAAAATTAAAAGACATGCATATAAAACAATACATATTTTGTAGGAATACAGGTAAATGGAACATTAAACATGTTAGAGTAGTTACTTACAGAGAAAAGAACAGGAGTGGGAAATGGGGATAAAAGGACATAAGTAGATAACAAGAGGGGCCGTGTCCACAGCAATAAAGACAACGTGCCATTAACTGAGCAGTACAGGCTTCTGAGGTCCAACTAAAGCACAACCCCAAAGCTTAGAGCAGGGAGTAGTAATAAACTGCTCCAGGTTAAACAGCCAAAGACCTGGACTCAAACCCAGGTGCTTGCACCTGCCCCCATGCAGCAGGGCTGAATTAACCTGTGGACCTTCAATTCTTGGAAAGACACCTGCCACGTGGCAAAAGCCCCCTGGCTTCAGCATTTATACAGTTTATATTTGATTTGAGAAAAAGTGGATTCCCAATATTTCTCACATGCCAAACCTAAGTGTGAGCCATTTGTTCATCAAGATTTTAATTGAGTGTTTATTATGTGCCGGGCACTGGGCCAGACAGAGGGCCAGCGGAGATGAAGGAGCCGGGACTCTGGCCTCAGTGAGCTCCCAGATACTGACCCCCTCTCTCCCTGCGGGCAGGCAGCAACTCCACTGTTAGAGCTTAGATATGCAGCTCGAATCTGCACATGACTTTCTAAAGCACCAACTAGCATTTCTTAAGACCGTCTAGATTTCCACAAAGAAACTGTGCTATGATGGTGGAAAACACTCATTGTCACTACTGGAAACTGATTTTTCTTGTAGCTAATCTTTCAAAACGGGTTGCCCAAGAAAGAACAACACCTGTAACGACGACCTTGATAAATGTGGTAAGATCTGCCTTGTTGCCTCATGTGGTAACTTCTCTTTTCTGTGCCAGGAGGTAAATATTTTAGAGACACATCAGGAAGGAGGTCATCCTATACGGAAAGACTGAAATGTTGGAACGGGGATTTCTAGGGTGGCGTTGAGGAAGCCGCAAAACCCCAGGGGTTCAGGCATGGTTTACACTCCCTTGAGGCCACCTGACTCACCTCGATCGTTTTGCAGGTGTCCTCCAGCTGGCTGATCACTCCCTGGACTCGATCATTGCTTCCCACAAGGACAGCAATGCCGTCGCTGAGCTCAGACTAATGGAGAGAAAAGAGGGATGCAAGATTGTAGGGGCTTTCTAGTCAGCACTGACTGTGAGTTCATCTTAGTAGTGTCCTCGTGGGTTCTTAATTTAGGGTCCATGGAACCCCTAAAGGAGGAACAGTGAGGCTGGGAGGCCTGAGAACCTCCTGATCTTGTAAATAAGATTCTGAATGGATGTGTGGGTGTAAATGCATTTGTCTGGGAAGAAGTTTCATCGTTTTCATCAAGTTCTTAATAGAGACTGTGGCCCTGCTAGAAACATTGAGAACACACCAAATTAGAGGCCATAGAGAATAAAGCATTCAGGGTAAAGAATTCTAAGAATTGTTGATTGAATGAAGACCAAAATGTGACATCAGGGGCCCAAAGTGGATCATTTGTCTAGTGCAGCTCAGGATCAGTTTTACTAGAGAAATATTCATTTATTCAACGTATACCTATTACGCATCCTCTAAATGCTAGATGCAAACAGATACTCATATTCTAGACTAAATCATTGCAAACTTAAAACTGTAACGTTCAACTGTTTCCAGGAAAAAAAATTTCAACTTGAAATTCCTCTCAGGACTCTTTGGACCCCGAAGCGATTCCATTGTTCTTACTTAGCCCCTCGCAAGGCTGGCCTCTGGAGCACAAGATACACTGAATGAGTGGGACTCGGGAAACCTACACGCTTGGTCCAACTCTGCCTTCAACATCTCTATGATGTTGGGCAAAACATGTAATCAATTTGGACCTTCATTGTCTCACATATAAAGTGAGAAGACTGGACCAGAAGAGTGGTTGTAAAACATTTTAAAGCTGCAGAGCCCTTTCTTCAGATGGAAGCTAATAAATAATCCCAATAGGTAAAAAGTGAGGCTGCTTTGGCCAAACCGGAGCGGGATGGAAGCCCTGCCAGCCTGCCTCTGTCCATCCCACATGGGGCTCAGGGCTCTGAGGGGAATGGTGTGACACAGGTACCATTCAGTTTTAACAGGTATCACTTGGCTGGGGGGGGGGGG